GGGTGGATGAGGGAGGGAGGGGTGCAAAAAGACGAATATGCTGCCAAGTGTGGGATTACGAATCAAATGCGGGCGCGATGTTTTATACGCGTTGTGCTACGGTCGGAGAGATTATGTCTTTATTAATATATATAACTCATATGTATACATATCTATATATAAGTAGCAGGAAACTGATAAGGCGCGCGATGTTGATAGATGTAGATCGTATATTATAACGAGTGCAAAAAGATACATATATTCCACTGGTTGTGTCACAATGAGGCCTCGAATCACATCGCATCCGCAATGAGTCTGAACATCTTCGTTAAGTCGCAATATATATGTAAGACAGTATTTTAGATCGATTGGATCGTGTAAACATTGCGAAATGGCATCTTGGTTCATCGCGATGCAAATATTCTTCTGAGATTACCACCAATAACACTTTGTTCATATTTCGCGTTCTATTCGAACGGACGCGTAAAAGATTTATCCTGCGTTGTATTATTATCTTTTGCAGAATTAACGTAGTATGATACATTAGATTAAATTTAAAAGCGCTCCATTGCAAAAGCGAGATGCTAAGCACTCGACAATCATACTGATTGAGTTATCGTTCGAAATAGCAAACCGTCCGTCCAAGAGCCATGTAAGAGACGCGTGCTAGACGATGGTTTGATAAGTAATAATATTAACATTAAAACGAATATTACCTAAGGGAAAGAATTGGAAGGACCAGCGGGTGTGAGTGTGCGGAGCTTTTAATCGATCCTTCTTTTTGAGATGAGCGAAACGATATCAGTGGGAACAAGAAACTCGCATTTTCGTAGAAGCCATATCATTTTTTGAAGGAGTCAGGAGTACATGTGTATATGTACGTATGCGTGTATGTGTGCGCGCGCGTGTGTGTGTAAGTAATCAATCGATAATTAATTGAAGCTGTGTATTATCTCCTCTATAATCATCGCGAATCGTGATCGCCGTTGAAAAGCAACAGACTTTACAAATAAAGTGCTTTCATTTATGCAACAAGTTAATGCAGAGGTATTATTTTATCTTTGTTGTTCACCGAGTGTTAAACAAGAATTAAATAATACTCTCTGTGTTAATCGATGTGTAAACAAATGCACGTATATGTATAAATAACCGTCGCATCGCGACAATTTCCAGTTCCAGCTAGCTTCAAATAGATAGGCCTTAATTTCGCAATTTGTAATTGACCCTCAATGGTGATCGTTCGCAGGATATGTATATCTATAGACGAATCGAATGATCATTTCTAGTATTCAATGTCGCTTTTGCGGCCGTATACAAATATATGTACTTAATTTTGTATTCTCGTTAAAAGCGTGGTAAAACGTAATTATTATAATTGCACGATGTAAAGTGAACTTATATATAATTAGTTTAATAATCAGGGTTGCTGAATCTTCACTGTCAGATTATTCAAAAAGATGAAATTTGCAGAAAAAAGAAGAAAGAATTTCGTGTTCATCGATGCTGTATTTTTGGATAAGCATTTTTACACCGGTCACACTGTGAACCGCAAATCTATAAACGATTGCAAGGGCTGTTAAAAATTACATTTTACAGTAAGCGCTACCCAGAGTTTATATTAATCCGCTACTCGCTTATGAGCGTCAATGACATGTATAACTAATAATAAAACAAATTGGAATAGTCAATATATATTAAGACAGTTAAGATATTTTAAATGAAATTCTTTTCGAAAATAACTTTTAATATTTTTTAATTTAAAATTTTTTAACATTTGGCGGATTAATAAAAATTCTGTTTGATTCATCGAAATTATCTGTATGATAATCTTATATAACTGTACGTGTGCGAGTTGATAGTAATTATGCTGTTGAGCTTCTACTGCAGAACGCTATCAATGTCAGGTGGTTATTCGAAAGATACGGAAAACATATTAGAGAAAGACACAAAGAGAGCGATATTAAATTCTTCGCTGACTTCAATTCTTGTCGCTTATACTATTGCTTATATCTGAGAAATTTGAAGAGAGAGAGAGACAGAGAGGAAGAGTGTGCGTGCGAATGTGTGTGTGTGTGTGTGTGTGTGTGTGTGTGTGTGTGTGTGTGTGTGTGTGTGTGTGTGTGTGTGTGTGTGTGTACGTGTATTGAAGTACTATTGTTGGAACAATTCGACGGTCAATGATTCTACTTAATACTCAAACGACAGTTTACTAAAAAGACAATTTTTTTAATTATATTTTTGTACGATATGAATATTAGTGACGTATTGTATATCCGCGGGATATAAATTTATCTATATCTCAATATCTGTGTTGCAGCTTCTCATTTTTATATATTTGCTTTAAGATCTGATCTACTGACAGAAGATTGTATTTTATCTAAAGATAACATAATGTGTTGACATTATTGAATATGTAAAGTACTGTGAACGATTTTGTACCTTGTACATTTCTTCAACGCTATGATACAGCGTATTTGCAATTCTTAGTTAAATAGATCATTATTTATAATTAGATTTTTGTGTTAAACTGAGCTCAAATATTTTCTATTTTGTTATCGTTATCAATTATACTCTTTTAAATTATAGACTACAATTTAAAGATTAATATAACTTTAAATTAGAAATTATAATTATCTATAACTAATAAAAAATTTCCTCGTTAAAATTATATTATAATTAGTCTAGTCGATCATTTGCAATAACGTCACAAATATTAAAAATTATCTTTCGTTTTAATTGATCTAAAATTTTTCACAATAATGTATTCAAACATTAATTACGTAGTATATAAGAAAGGAGTTATGTGTTTCTTTTTAAAAATAAGGACAGATTGTTAATTATAAATAAGAAATAACATTTAGAGTCGCAAACAAATCTGCACATGAATAATTTGCAAAGAATCCAGCAATTATGTGCAATCGCTGTTCTTTCATAGGATTTAAGTATCATATAGGATTTATTAGATTTTAATCTAAAGAAGTTAAGAGAATGGGAATAACATACATTGAATTCTAATTCGTCAGATTTACAAATAGTTTAGCGCTTGGACTGTTTTGCATTATTTTATTCTGTGATAAATCATGATCGTTGATCAAGGAAGAAGAACAAAAGGGTTGTCAGGCGCAAATACGGTCTTCCCAAACGAATTAATAGTGAAGTCGTTTTCATCGCCCACGTTAGTACGTGCCAATCAATGCTGTTAAATCAATTATTAACATCGAAACTTTCGGGGCGAGATGTTAATATACCGTATGTTGAAGCGTATATGTCTGCGGGGCGACATATATGTATATAATTTTATATTAAGATCGAGTTCTTTTTTATGTCGAATTTGTCTACGAATTGTCGTCCTCAGAAGCGCGATTCTCTGTGAAAAACGACGGCAATACTGTACGAAGAGAATTTATGTCGAACGTATTGATTGCAAGATTCTCAACCGAGACATCTAACAGCGAAATCATGTGGTTGTGTCATCTTGACGACTCAATGCAAGACGATACGGAATCCGAAGAGAGTACTTGAAGCGAATAAAAATGACGGGGAATCGCCGTCTTTCGAAGTTTCGCCGCGATTTTTCACAAGGAATCGACACGTTTACACAAGCGCATACTCCGCGTAGGTCTATAATCTCTTTTGTAAATACATTTTATACCGGCTGCGAGGATAGCCCGTTGTGCGAGGGTGGCTTCACGAATAAAGACTCTCACCTATCCCTCGCAACGACACGGTTCGCAAACTCATACAGTTATTTCTGTCACGTAACATCGTAATACATATTAGTATATGTATCTGAGAATTTGTACAACATGTGCGAAGCACGAAGGGGCACAGGTTGTCCCGTAATATCACATTATACAAGCATATGAAAAAGGGACACGCTTGCATAATAAACGTGACTCTTCCCGTAATCTTTTTCTCTCTCGCTTTATTTTGTATCCCTCCCCATCTCATTCACCAAATATAATACATATAACTTCATAAGAAGATAAAAAAAGGTAAGAAAGTTATGTACAAAAATTGTTTACTAAATTATATATATTTTTTTTACTTTGTGAATAGTTGTTTGTGTCCATTCCATACATAAATTCAATGTATCAAATAATAAAAAATAAATTTTATTATAATGAAATTAAGAGAGATTAATACAAATGCCTCCCAAGAAACGATGTCTGGGCGGTTTCTCTAGACACTAATAATGCCTACATAATGTTAGTAGTCTTTGAATTTAATGGCATTTCTGATGACAATTCTAATGAAGGATTAAGTTTGTTGTGTGTGTGCTTATGTGCATCAGGCCTAGTTTCGTTCACGAGACGACCTACAATTAATACAACATATTATTCAATTCTTATTTGAACATATATGGATTTACAATTACATATAAAGTACAAGTAATTTATATTGTATATAAACAACTCACTAGTAATAAAATCTATTTTTCATAATTTTGAAAGAAGATAATAATATTACAAATATTACGGCTATGTTTTCAATATAAAATAAGTAGGACGAAGTTTACTTAAAAAAGGAGTATTTAGACTACAACTTTAAAAATCACTGAAAGTACAAGGTCTCAAGTCGCGACTGTCTACTAATAAAGATTCGCTTGACAAGTTTGTTTAAATCTTTACTTTCCTCTCAGTTGGTTGAGCATTCTAGAGAGAATTCCACGCCCGGTGTCCTCTGCAGGTTTATCGATAATTCCATTGTTCTCATTACGAGGATGCCTACGTAGTATACGACTTAGCGATCCTGCCTGGGGATGGACAAAAAGTCTCCTAGGTGAACCATCTTTGTCAACAAGCTTAAACATTCTTCCTAAAGAGTTTGTTTTTTCTTTCTTCGATGCTTTTTCGTTATAGTCATCTATGCTTGTCATATTCTAAAGAGAGAGAGAGAGAGAGAGAGAGAGAGAGAGAGAGAGAGAGAGAGAGAGAGAAAGAGAGAGAGAGAAGAACAAAAAGTACCACAAATATATTATATAAGTCGTTAAAACTAAAACTGGTGATTTGTTTCGAAGGCTTCGAAATTTAAACTTTGAAGCTTCAAAGATTCGAAGCTTTGATATTAAAATCTTTGAATATATTTTAATATTTCTTTATTCCCACAAATATATTTTTTAAAGTTTCAAAGTTAACATCAAGCTTCACAGCTTCGAAAACACTTTGAACTTCAAACGTTTGCAATTAAATTTAAAAATTTGAATTTTTTTTTCAAATCTTTGAAATAGTCAAGACTAACATTAGTTAAAACTTTGACGCCAAGTTATTCAAATTAATTATACATAAAAACATTGCTGCAAAATTTAGTTTACTATATTGAATGTATCCAATTATTTTTAATGTAAATGCAGTCAATATGTAATCTCGATTAATTAATGCTATTTTGCGATCGCAATATACAGCGATTAATGTATTGACACGCATTTTACCGGTCCTAATTAAACAATCAATTACATATTCGTTGTACTGATGAGATTATCGACAAATTTAGAGATAAATCACTTTATTAAGAAAACTTTTCAGTTTTTAGTATAAACATGTACGTTTTAATTATAACATAACAATAAATTCAATATTGTAATTCAGAATTCAGAAAATAAATTTTTCAAAGGCTACATTATTTAGTAAAAGTTATTCAAGATAAAAGAGATTATATTTTCAATCAAATTGATTTCTTCACAAATTGATTTTCAAAAAGTTAATAGTAAGCAAAGATTTTTAAAAATAATCGGATGTAGATGCAAAATGAATATTACAGATCCAAACGTATTAAGACATGTTTAAGGTCAGAATGTGGTCGGTATGTATTTCAATTCATTTTCACTATCTTGACACTTTCAAGATTCAAACTTTCTTCATATATCATGCGAGATATCACTAAAGCCCGAATATCATACGTCCCCAGCTGCATCTTATATTTGTCAAACATGATTCTCCGAGGATTCAAATCACTTACAGTATCCAAACCTAAGAAAGACCTTCCCACAGCAGGTGTATGCGCTTTAAACATCTTCCCCATTCTATCCAACGTAGCGCTTTTCAACCTCCTGACATCTTGCCTAACGGCTTCCGTCCTCGATGTCATTTGAGATAACTCCGGTAATTCCTTTGTTCTCGATGGGCTAGTGCGTCGAGTACCAGCTGAACCTATTGTAGTTTCGGAAACTATATTTTACTTCAAAATGAGATATCTTTTGTACTACACTTAATTATAGCGTCTGTTATATTGATACACGGATTTCATAGAGCATCGATAATACATTGAATTTTAATATTTATAATATGCTATCATTAGTGTTTTTAGCAAATATAATATACTCGCAATCAATGCAATGACACATACAGCCGATCGCGTTTCGTGGTTTACCTTTCTAAATAAACCACTTCTGTATATCGTGATTGGCGAATCGATCGATACCTAGTCCGCCTACCACATAGCAATAAATACGGCAGCAATAAATACGGATGAATCTAGCGATTGAAACGCGATTCGTGAACGCACAAGTTTATACGTAACACCAATTCAATTTCTTGAGAAAAAAGACCGAACGAAAGCAATCTCATTCATCACACCGTGACGAACTGTAAGTAAGGAAAATTACACTTATATAGTTGAACGAACATCTTTTTTAGGTCGAGCCACAGATGTTACGACAAAATAAATCACGAAATAACTCCTTCAAAGTTTCATATCAAGTACGAATACGAAATTTTCAAACGGAAACTGGTTTTTTAAGCCAACATTTTCTGCAATCTTATATCTCTCTATTCGTCTCGCAAAACTTTATCCTGTGCGCATATGATGTGTTTTTCATCACTGCAAAGCTAAAGAAAATTACATGAATTTCACGTACGTTATTACGTATGCTATTGCGAATATTATTGCGTATGTTATTGGGTAATAACTAATAATGATAATGTTAAATGTTATCTTTGTTTCAACAATTACGACGATAGAGATATCAATACTAAAATGTTAAAGAGTTAAAATAAATAGATGACTAGATAGATTCGAACAAATTTAATGATAATTTCTCAATGAATTCTCAATGAATTCTCAATGAATATACACTTCGAGATTGATTGCTATGTGAGAAAAAGATGTGTGCTTTAAAATTCTTCGTGGTCATTTATAATTATATTCATTTGATACATATTTGTGTAAAAAAGGAGAGAAGGAAATAAAGAGCAAATATAAATTTTTAGACGTTTTTTTTTGGTCTTGTAATCGGAGATGTTAATTAAAATTCATTAATTAATTAGAAGCGTATAGTGAGTTCTGTACACTCATATGTGCCTGAAATTATCAGAAAATTTAGTGCGACGAATATGAGAGATGGAAATTGATTAACTCACTCGGAGATATCCAAGATTCGCCGTTCTCGTTGATTACTTCCTGCTTTACTAACGTTCTGTCATTTTCTTCATGACGTGCGCCATTAACAACCTAATATAGATACGCGTCAATGCAATTCCGGTTCAATTCTTGATATATTTACGACCAACAAAATGATTTAATAAAGCGATCCGACTTAATACGTTCTAATAAATTCGGGGTGCAACTAACCTGATACTGTGATTGATCTCTTTCGAAAATTTCCGCATCCGGTTCATTCATTGGCATTGCGTATGCAAGAGTAATTTTTGTCGCAGATATAATTCTCGATTCTCCTTTCTACGAATTTTCGAGTGAATATGAAGCATGAGCAGCATGCAACCTAATATTAAGCACAATATCGATATATGCAAGTCACAGACAATAATGGTGAAAAATTTTATTGATCATCGACTCGTTACGACACAAGAGACGCGGTTCGCATACGAGACCGTCTCATTTCCATCAGAAAGCGAAAAGCTTCCTTGACAGAATCAAAGAGCTTATGCGGATATTTTGACCAAACTATTCTGACTTTTTGCGAAAGCCAGCGTGAGTAAGATATTGGATTTCAATCAAGGGAAAGAACGCAGCCTGTATGCAGACGTTATCATGTTTATTGGATAATAGATCCGGTTTACGAGTCATCGTCGAAACCTTTCGCTTCACGGAAACGGGATTCTCGGCAACAGGAGAGATGACCCAATCCTTTATCGAGTATCAGATGGATGTTTTCACATTCCGTGATAAAACGTCTCCGTTACGTTGCCGACGTGAATCAAGAGACGGATATACTAAAACTTTCTCTGATATGGTGCTTAGAGTCTATTGCCAAATATCTGTGTTTTTGGGAATTAGTAATGGCGGAGTTGACGGAGAACCATCAAATAATTGCTCGTTTGTTTCGTTACTGGATAAACAAGTAACCAATTTGGTTCGTTTGCAAAAAAACGTAACTTCAATTTACGTAGCACGATAAAAATCGATGTGTTAATAAAAAATAGATTGATAAAAAAGGTGTACTTTTTTCCAATATCTTTTAACGTTGAAATTTGTGATCAAAATTTATTCGCTCGTAAGAATCATAATTGAGCAGGAAGTATCTTCAGAGTATATTTATTTAAGAAAAGATTCTCGAGTAAGAGATCAATCTATGATTAATTAGTGATCATAAAGTATCTATCTTTTCAGCGAGATATTAGCCAATTATCGGTAATCGTGCGACATTGTTCGTCGAGTTTGTAATTCTAAATGGAAAAATTTTCGAACAATTTGAGGTATATATTTTATAAAATTTTTTTTATTAATCAACGTCTTTTCTTTCAATACAATGAGTATCACAAAGTATATAAACATATGCTTGTAAAGTAAATTATCTCTTATCTTTTTATAACAATAAAAAATAGTTTAACTTACATAATTGCATTATGTGCATTGTTATAACTAAATTAGTTATAACAATGCACACATATATATATATACTGATATTATATACATATAAATATAATTATACCTATAAATTAATGCAGATAAAAATTAATTAATTAAATAGAACAAATTAAATTTTTATGTTTACATATTTATGTTTATTAGAATAACATATATTTTGATATTACCGTGGAAAATATTTACATACATAACTTATATGTATTATAATTAAATGTAAAACCATTAGTTTAAATCTAGTTCGTTTTAATATGAAATAACGTGTATTATTTTATAATTAAATTAACGTTAGTCAAAGCAATTTTATTATTCGAGTTCATTTATAAATATAATTTATAAATATAATTTCAAATAAGATCTTAATTTATCTATTTATTTATTTATTTAAGATCTTAATTAAAAGACGGTAATTAACCAACTTGATTTTGAAAATTTGTTTAGTTTTGCACTAGTTTGCATAAATTTTTTTCTTAGCTAAAGCTTGCAGGGAAAGGTCCCAAGAGAGTAAAATTTGTGTGCAGAAACGTGACGGAACTGCTAGATTCGTAAAATGTCATTTAGTTTTGCGCATTTCTTCAACACGTGCTGTAAAAGACCTGAATAATCCGTGATTCGTGATTGTCACAGCCATCTTCGATCATGGAGACTAATAGAAGAAAGGTAATATAACTAAGGAGAACAAAGTGCCTCATTAAAACGATTGTTCTTTCATCAGTATTCAAAGAGTAAAATGATCGATATGCGATTCTGTAGCAGACTGAAATTCTTTTTGATGAAACGCTGGCGTTTTTGGAAGAAATAAAAGAATGGTAAAATGGAGACTACAAAGGAACGACACGTACGCGTTTATACCGTGCGTCACAATATTCTGATTCTACTGTTATGCTCTCAATATACACACTACAACAAAATGTTATTTTCTCAGTCGTTATCATGAGAGCGGATAGTTCTTCGAAGTTATTAAAACATAATACAGCAGCAAGTAATAAACGGTGTAAAAAATAATATCAAGAAAAATAGTATCAAGAAAAGCAATTAGGATTACACACAACTTGAAAATTAAAACAGTTAACGTTGATTAATTCTTTATAATAACAGAGAACAGAGTTTTATTAATAACTCCGAGTTATAATCCTGCTGGAAAATCACTATGAAACTCATTCGATAGGTTATACACGTGTAATTTATCGCATTCGATACTGTAACAAGAGAACTATCGAAATTCTCTTACTCTTTAAATATTCCAATAGAAGTAGTTGTTGGATAAGATCAGATTCTTATCTGATGATAAGATCAAGACTAATCCAACTTTCTCACTATGAATGAGAATTTCACAACCTACAGAAAGTGCGGTGTCGTCATATAAGTAATAAATCATGTCACATATCAGTTTCGGCTCATATACTTATCATGTTGAAAATTGAAAATAAAAACATCCAGCCAAAGCGCATTCTGCAACTCTCATTTATCATCATTTCTTACATTTGTTATCTCCGCTTAGAAACAGAGTTATACTACGAGATGAATAAAAATACCAATTTAGTAAAATAAGATTTATTTTAAGCGTATATAAATATAGATTACACCTACTATACTTCATACATTTTTCTTTACATAATCTAAAAAAAAATTGTCTCGCTTTGATTACGTGATTGTTAAAGCTTAATGTTAATACACAAAATAATTAATAAACGAGATATTCAATTTATGTATTTTATAATAGAGGCGGGGTATCTCTTTTATCAGGAATTTTGTGTTACGGATGCTTGGAGAGAATCTGTTACTTCGATACAAGACGTAACGTAACTCGTATATACATACTCGCAGAGACATATCCTTGATACATATATCGTTAAACAACATTATCTGTTTGTCGCCTCGACAATGGGAAGAGAGGAAATGGGAAATTGTATCATGATGTGCTGATGTTGAAACCGACCTCGCGCTTTGATTTAATTGACCACGACGGCGACCTTTTCGCTGCGACATCGCGTTTCTGACAAGTGATCGATTCAAAAAGGTTACATAGCTGTATAAGCCTGTATTTTCTATTTCCGATCACGATCGATGGTCCTTTATTCGTAGTCACGTATCTACTCACGTGGCGCGATTACGTCGAAAGTGGCGACTTTTGCGATAGAAGCGGATACGGATAAGAAGGGTGACGGTTCCAAACTCCGGCGGACTTTCGATCCGACTGGTTCGCAATGTCTCTCTTCGCGATCCGCACGATCGCTTCGGAATTTCATTCTAAGGTAGCAGAAAGCATTTAGAAATTAGCGACGGAAAGTTTGTGGACTCGCGTCAGCGCTTTCCCAAACAGACCCAGAGTTGGGGATAATTAACTCTCACGTGATCGTAAATTTTGAGTTATCGAGCACGATAGCACGCGCGTAGGCAGTTAATTTTCAGCCTAGATTACATTCCTGACAGTCTTTCTGATCTGGCGCGTGCGCGGCCTATAAATATTAATTATTTTTTTCAATATTCCATTGTGCATTAAATTCGATTTATTGATGTAGACATACTTTCGAGCTAACTTAAAGATTAAATTACTGAGCGAGTTTAAGCAGACTATGAGCGATGGTCTTGTTCAAGCGTGAGAAATGCGAATCCAAGAAATAAAACAGTACAATAAAATTGCTCACTTTAATATTAAAAGAGAAGCTTCCAAAAAAGGAATCTGCCTGTATTTAAAAAAAAATATTATTAAAAATCACAGGTTCTATTCTCTTTCAATATCCGGGCTTCGTGTTTTTCCGTATGAAAATTAAATGTATTGTACATACAATAAAGATGAAAAATATATCCGATGTGAGAGATCAATACACAAACTAGTTATGTTTATAAACATTAATAAAAAAGAATGTATTACCTATTATTATACAACATTGATCATTCTATATAATTATAAAATAAAAAAGAACATAAATATTCATAAAAAAATATCTGCTGTAATTTTTAGATAAGTTATATGTTTATTTTTCAAATTTGTACTCTATGAATATACAACTATATTTATGTCCTGAGTAAATAGCTACAGCTACATAAATGCAATACATATACGCGCGTCGTTATTAAAATATGTATTTTAAACATGTACTTTAAATATTTAAATAATATTAAATCGTTATTTATTTTAATATAAGGTTCTAAAAAATATTGATGAAATAATATTCTCGGCTCATTAACCAAGTAAAAATAAAAAAATCACAGATTTCAACAAAATCCTTATTTACTTATGCCTCAATACAATTTCGTACAATCGTATATCATCGTTTTATATATCATAGAATTCGTTTAGGGGTAACAAAGCCTAAGAAAATTATATAAAACTGGTACTTGAATTCGTACCACAAATGGAACGTATGAGACAAAGAGTTTTTCAGACGATAACACATATCTGGTACAAGGAAGTATACCAGTGATATTTGAATGCTCCGTCGGAATTTACATGTATTTCGTGTACCGTCGACAATTCCGTCGAAAATGAGGTGGCATGGCGGAATATTTAATATAGACATTCTTTGATGAAAGGGATTTTGCGCGATTTTCGTGATCGCACATTTATGCGGAATTTAAAGCAGTTGCTGTTTCACCTGATAATTTATTCCACATGCATAATTTGGAGTTACACGGGGCGAACTGACCGACCATTTTTGAGATACTGTGACTGAAGGGTGAAAATAACTTGAAATGTAATTAACTGTAGAAAATTGAGAGCTGTGATGAAAGATGATCTGCATTACAAATCTCCGATAAGACAAAATGAAATTTAATTGCGATCAATCATATCTCATGTGACACTAATGATTTAAGTGATATAATGTTCTAACGTATATTTTGATGTACGTATCTGAATACGTAATTCGAACGGAACTAGATGTGTCACAAACTTGAACGTGGAACTTATAGTTACGAACTTTGAGGTATACGTTACATGATGTTCACAGCGGTAAGTCACAAAGCGCAAGACATACGTGTACAAACCAAATCAGTAATCTAAGACGAAACTTGCAGTGAAACGCTTATCATTTATGATATTAGTTATAAACTTGCATATCGAAGATTTAGATAAGAATTATTTAATTTTGTGCATACTATATTGGACATACTACTTTGGATAAATCCAGTTTTGATTTACATATATAATTCTATTATAAATTACTCTATATTGATTACAATAAAATGAAAAGGGATTAGATACTAGTTATTTTTCTAATATTTAATTCCTTATAAAATTATCTTTGCTCTGTGCAAATTTGTATGCATTTATAATTTATAATTTGCAGCAACGTAATTTTTCACTCGACGCTGCATTATTGAATTGTAAATTTAAACCGCAGAAT